CTCCATGCCAGCAGCGATCGCCGCGCCACCTCCGTCCGCAGCCGCCCAGCCGGTGCCCTCCATCGCCGTGGCCACAGACGGGATCCTGCGCGGCCCCTCTATGGGGCGGCCTAGGAGCCCAGCCCGGAGAGGAGGCGGGCCAGAAACGCACCTCCGGACCCGTTTTCTTCAGGAACCGCCTGCCTCCTGGCGAGAATCGGAACAGGGCGAGCCAATCGAGACACAATCTGCAGCTCAAGAGCGATCCCGGGACCCTCCCACGGTCCAAACGCGCAAATGCTCCGAACTGCGTCCAGCCGTGGCGACGAGGGCCCGCCCCGAAGGCAACCTACCATTGTCTCAACTCGCCTCGCTCTGAAGGACGGCCCGTCCTGCGAGGGGTCACCCTTACGCTTGGCCGGAGGGGGGCCCCGCTCGGCACTCGGGCCCCTGGGCGGCCCGCGAGCTCCACGGGACGCGCGGAGGCGCCGGGAGGCCTCGGACACGCGGGGCTCGGCCCTGGCGGGTTTCGGCGGTTGCGGCACTGGCCGGGTGCGGCTGCGCGGAACCAGCCGGCTACAGAGCGCTGGCTCGAACCCTCATGGCTGCGGAGGAGGAGGAGGGCTGCTCTGTCCTGTTCCGCCCCCTCCCAAAAACTTTCGGGCGGATGGAGCATTGAATCCTGGCGCTTCGAGCGGGGGACAACACCAGGACGCGTTTACCTCGGCCTTCCTGACCCTCGAGGGGGAGGGGGATGAGGAAAAAAAAAAACAAGGAGAGACGAGGGAGGGAGGGGGGGAGAGGGAGGGAGAAGGAAACGGGGAATAATATTGATCCACGAACGCCCCCCCTGTGACTGCTTTGGGATGATTCTTCACAGCGTAGCTCCCTCCCCGATGGACCCGCTTTTCACCTTGTTTCGTTTTCTGACGGCCCTAAGGCCGACAGTTTTGGAGAGCGAACACCCGTCGTGATCTCTTCAGGGCGCGATGAGGTCTAGGTCTCGAGTCAAAAAATCGATCCAAGGTCCTGACGAGAACTTGAAAGGACCCCGCAAGTGAACGCGAACATTACGCTACCGAGGAACCCCACATACACATCTTATGTCTGGGATGGGGATAGCTGAATCAAACATGCGAGAATGATGTTGGCGGCCGTTGCCCCGCCGATGCCGTTGGCGGCGCCAGTCAAGAGGAGAGGGGGGCACCGAGGGTCATGTTGAAACAACCCGAAGCCTCCAAGCCTCGCAGTGGATCAGAGCCTGCACCACGGCGTTAACGTAGCACGTATTTCCGAAGTTGGGCATGCACACGGACGGCAGGTATAGGTTCGACAGGTCGTCTGTAACGGAGGCAAAGAAATCGAACGCTCTCCTTTGCGAGCGAGAACGAGTCCACGCGGGCGAGGCCCATGACTCTGAAGTCCGCCCAGGCAGCGAGGACCTGTGCGATGCGTTTGATCCTGACAGGGTCGGGGCGCAGGTCCTCCTGGTCAGCAGCTGGGTAGAGGAACGCCACCACATCCAGCCGCTCTGCCAGGGCCGCCTGGCGCGTGCGGTGCTCGACGCCTTCCACGTCGCGCAAGGAATCGATGCCATGGTGATCTGCAGCGGCTCGAAGCGTCCAGCGCCAAGGGGCGACGTCGATCACCTCCCCGTAGAACTTAGCGCTGGCTCCACCGAGCATGTCAGGCTGAAAGGCGAACAGCCGAAGAATGGGAACACCCACTCTGTAGGATCCGTGCTTGGTAGAGAGCTTGTTGAGCGCCCTCCACAAGTCGGCATCGTCGCCCCTTCTCGACGGTCGGCACTTTGGATCGCCAGCTCGCTTCGCCGCAAACTCCTTCTGCCATTTGACGGCTGTCGTATCCCCTTGTGACGACGAGTTCTCGAACTGAATTGATTCTCGCAATTCCCGCGACCATGGTCCTTGCGCCCAACGGTAGTCCGTCTCCGCTGGCCCTGGGAACAGCTGAATGCGAGGCGTACCCAATGGACAGAACAGAGGCAGCAAGCACTACTGCTGGAGACCGCTGCGGGGTGATGGCCTGCATGGGCGTGGACTTGACGGGCGTGTCCCGCGCGGGCATGACAGTGCCCCCCGTGCCAGCGTCGCCGACCCGCCGAACTTTCACCAACGGCGAGGCATCGCCATCCTCCGCCCCCCCTGGCTGATCAGCTGGGAACCCACTGGAGGAAACATTCAGCAGGTACCTCACCAAACGCTGCCTCCTGGCATCGTCGCCCCCTCCTTGGTGGAGTAGCTCATCGTACGGCCACCGAGTAGCTGCCGGCGGTAGGAATTAAATGCGTGTTTGACCAAAGCTGCCTCGCAACTGCGCAAATTTACAATGTTAACCTCGACGCCTGCGCCTGTCCTGGACTTCTTCAGCTGCAAACGCGGAGGCGGCAGTGCGTCCATGGCACATTTGGGCGGCATGAACGGCGCGAGTGGCAAAACAGCACCTACCATATTCAAGCACATTCAAACCAGAGTGACGTCAGTTCGGACTACCACACATGCCACGCTTTCCCGCCCTGGCACCCCAGGGCCCACTCCCTGCGCACCCCCTATGGTTTCAAGAAAGTGCCACGCCTGCCACGCTCTCAGACCCTGGCACGCATAGAGGCCGCGGAGAGGGACCAACCCCTGCGCACCCCCTATGTTGTCGAGAGAGCACCACGCCTGCCACGCTCTCAGACCCTGGCATGCACAGGGGCCGCGGTGAGGGACCACCCCCTGCGCGCCCCCTGTTGTGTCGAGAAAGTGCCACGCGTGCCGCGCTCCCAGACACTGGCACGCATAGAGGCGGCGGTGAGAGACCACCCCCTGCTTACCCCCTATGGTGTCAAGAAAGTGCCACGCCTGCCACGCTCGCAGACCCTGGCACGGGTAGGGGCCGCCCTGAGGGACCACACTCTGCGCACCCCCTATGGTTTCAAGAAAGTGCCACGCTCTCAGACCCTTGCACGAATAGGGGCCCCACGCCTGCGACGCCTTGCGAATCTTGCGCGCATGTGTTGTGTGGTGTGCGCGTCATGTGTATGATGTATGCGCAACTGTATCTGGGCGTGCGTGTGCCTCATGCGGGTGCCCAATACGTGTTGTGTGTATGATGCGTGTGCGGACTTATCGGAAGTTGGGGGGTGAGATCGCAGTGGAACGGAGACCCCCAACCGGGAAATCGTTTCGTTTCGTTCGTGTCGTGCGTGCGGGCGAGGCGAAGCTGCGTGGGCGCGCGAGAGGAATGAACCCGCCGTTGCTGGGGCGAAGTCAAGACAAATGATTCTCCCCCGCCCGTCCGTCCGTCCAGCGGTGTCCCGCGATGTCCCGCCCCGCGGTGTCCCGTGGTGTCCGCCGTTGCTAGGGCGAAGTCAAGACATCTGATTCTCCCCCGTCCGTCCATCCGTCCGGCCGGCGGTGGCACTCGCGGTGTCCCGCGGTGTCCTGTGGTGTCCCGTGGTGTCCGCCATTGCTAGGGCGAAATAAAAACAAATGATTCTTCCCCGTCCGTCCGTCCGTCCGGCTGTGTCCCGTGGTGTCCGCCGATGCTAGGGCGAAGTCAAGACAAAAGATTCTCCCCCGCTCGTCCGTCCGTCCGGGGGTGGCTCGAGGTGTCCCGCGGTGTCCCGTGGTGTCCCGTGGTGTCCGCTGTTGCTAGGGCGAAGTCAAGACAAACGGTAGTCCCCGTCCGTCCGTCCGTCCGGGGGTGGCTCGAGGTGTCCCGCGGTGTCCCGCGGTGTCCCGTGGTGTCCCGTGGTGTCCCGCTGAGTGAGATCGATAGTGAGATCGATAGTGAGACCGATACTGAGATCGATGTGGCTCCCCGAGGTGTCCCGTGGTGTCCAAAAAAGTGAGATAGAGAGTGAGATCGATAGTGAGATCGACAGGTGTCCCGTGGTGTTCCGTGGTGTCCCGTTGGGTGAGATCGATAGTGAGATCGATACTGTGATCGATGTGGTGCCCCGAGGTGTCCCGTGGTGTCCCAAAAAGTGAGATCGAGAGTGAGATCGATAATGAAATCGACAGGTGTCCCGTGGTGTCCCGTGGTGCCCTGTTGACTGAGATCGATAGTGAGATCGCTGGTGAGATCGATGTGGTGCCCCGAGGTGTCCCGTGGTGTCCCGTGGTGTCCCGCGGTGTCCCGCGGTGTCCCGTGGTGTCCCGTTGAGTGAGATCGATAGTGAGATCGATAGTGAAACCGATAATGAGATCGAGAGGTGTCCCGCGGTGTCCCGTTGTGTCCCGTTGAGTAAGATCGATAGTGAGATCGATAATGAGATCGGCAAGTGTCCCGTGGTGTCCCGTGGTGACCCGTTGAGTGAGATCGATTGAATCAGATGTTGGTTCCCCTTCTCTCCCCCCCCCCCCCCCACAACCCCCTGATCACTCGAATGGTGGCCGTATAGGTATGGACGTGTGTCTCATGTGGGCGCCCAGTATGTGGTGAATAGGTCGTGGGTGTGTGATGCAATGACCACGCCAGGCGTGCACTGGCGTTGTTAGTGTGTGTGTGTGTGTGTGTGTCCGTGTTCACATGCGTGTATTGTGTCTTGCGTGTATTTTGTATGTGTGCGATGTGTGTGTGCGGCTGTATGTGGACACGACGTGTCTCAATGTCGGTATGCGTGTGTGCGCGTGTGTCTGCATGCGTGCCTTGTGTCTTGTGTGCGTTGTGAATGTGTATGGTAGCTGCATGTGGACGTGCGTAGCATGTGGCTGCCCATAATGTGGCGCATACGTCTTGATTTTTTGGTACCGTCAAAACGCCAAGCGCGCACTGGCGTTGTATGATGTGTGCGCGAGTGTGTGCATACGTGCGGCTGCATGTGGCGTGTGTCTCATGTACGTGCCGTGCGTGTGTAGCGCGTGGGTGAGGGGAGGAAGGGAGAGGAGGAGGAGAGGAGAGATGGAGGTGAGAGAGGAAGACGCGGGCGCGACGAGGCAGGAGGAGGGGTGAGGAGGCGGAGGAACGTGGGTGGGACGCGGGAGAGAAGAAAACCAGAAACCCACCAAGCACGCGGGGAAAACTCCTGGAGGCCTCAAACACTAGAAAAGCGGCCCATAGAACTGTTCTGGGCTGATTCAGGCGAGACTCTCGAAGCGGATTCAGCGACAGAAGGCCCCGCCAGAGGCCCAGACAGGAAGGAAGAACAACATACACTTACCCAGGGAAACACCCAACTCTTTCGAAACGTGTGAATACTCAAGACTGCGCAATACGATCAAACATGTTGAACAACCCGCAACGCGCAGCTCGCAGCCCCAATGAATCGCAAGGTCTCGACAGCGTCCGCGTGACACCCCGCTCGGACGAGCCTCTCAGGAGCCCACGAAAGTGGTGACGGTTGCGCAGTTGGCAGCCCGCCAGGGGGCCGCGAAGTCTCGGCGGAGTCCGTGTGACAGTCCACTCCGCTGGGCCTCCCAGGAGCCCACAAAAGTGGCGGCAATTGCGCAGTTCGCAGCCCCCCCAGAGGCCCGCGAGGTCTCGACGGCGTCCGCGTGACAGTCCACTCCGCAGGACCTCACAGGAGCCCACGAACGTGGCGACAATTGCGCAATTCGCAGCGAGGTCTCAACGCGGTCCGTTTACAACTCCACTCCGCTG